TACATGTTCGATTGATTTTTAAGTAAAGACACCAGTGTAATTAAATAAAGGCTTTTTCATTAAGCACATTGAATATCCATATGGAAAAAGAAATTAATCTCAACACTTAGAAATATCTTTAAGAAATTGAAACTATATTTCAATGACTAGGTTATATACTTTGGGTGTCATTGATGTAAGAAAGATTGGAACTCCAATAATCAAATCAATAATCTAAGAGAAGGCATTATCCCAATACCAAAAGATTTGCAAATATATGCATACTTATTTATTATATATTAAATATATAAGATATATTCTTTGCTGTAATGAGAATTTTTTTTCCTGATCTTTTCAGATAAAAGAACTTCTACCATTATGTCTTCAAGTTTTTGTTGTAATTTTACAATGTCTTTATGTTTGTTTTAAGACTTAACAGAGGCATTGTAAAAATGCTTTGCACATGGGATATTCTCAGTGAATAGAAGTTTTTAGTATTACCCTATACTTTTGTTCCTTAGCTGTTAATTTCATTAACCTTTCTCTGACTCCACTATATTGTAATTACTTTTCTTCATGAGCATACTTCATCTTGCCCAATAGATAAGTGCATGGACTGAGCCTGCACTTAAAACCTCACAACTAAACTCCAGTGCCTGATACAAGGGGACTTCAACAAAATTCATGGAAAAACAGAATTAAACAACAAGTCCATGCATATTTGTTTTTCATAACAATCTCAATGAATTTTTGAAGACCATTCTTATGTTTAGATCTTTGACTATTTCTTAACTGAGAGTGTTAAAAAAATCTTAAGACTTTAAACCCAACTCTTCAGGAAGTGCTTACACTTCAGAAAAGTAGTGGGGAGAGACAGAGCAAATGAAATTGTTTAGAAATGCATTCCTTGATTTTTATTTGATTTGTTACCATATAATATATATGCTAGAGTTAGGACATATTTAATGGCTGAGATTGGGAATATTTATGGCCAGTTCCTTGCTGCTTCATTGCCTCCCATGTTTATGCTGTGTATTGGGGAAAGTTACTAATGTGTAGAAGTCTTAAACTTCAAGGAAGTTATTTTCTTCCTTTGAAGTTTGTTAGAAAAATCTGGCCTTGGATAGGATGGTAGGCTTGAAATTCTTGTGAGTTCACTAGATTATAATTATTTGTGGATGTTGTCTTATTCAGTCATAGAGCTCCAAGGGACATTTCATAGTGCTTGGTGCTAAATTTTTCCTTAAATGACCAATGGTTCAAGGTTACTATTCAAGGATTCAAGGCCAGGAAGTGGTGAAATGGGCTAAGTGTTTTATGCTCCTTCCTAACTCTTTTTGAAGTAGCACTGTTGTGCCTATCTACCTTTTGTTTTTTTCTCTGGAGCCAGGCCTAATCTCTTGCTCAGCTGGCCATTAAATAATTCCTAATAGCAGTTAACTGATCATTAGGTCAGCCCTTGCTAGGAAGCATTTTTCAGATACTTGTATTTTAACCACAGACATTTCAAGGCAGAGGGATGCATTTCACAATTTTGGGGGAATGATCTTCCCCAAGTATATGATGTGTGTAAAGTGTGTGTTGTGTGCTAAGTGTGTACAAGGGAGTAACAGATCGCTCCACCCTGGGATCTACTTTTGTTTCGTGGTTTCAGAGCACAAGATAATGACTTTGAGGAGTCAAAGGAGCTCCATATAAAAAAGGATAGTTGAGCTGAGCCCAGAAACAGTGATATTTGGGAGGAGATCTAGGGTGGAAGACCAAGTGGGGGAGGCAGCACATTAAAAAAGCATTGAAAAGGAAGGTATTACTGGTGCTGTGGCGTAGTGGGTAAAGCCACTGTCTGCAGTGCCAGCATCCCATATGGGCGCTGGTTTGAGCCCCAACTGCTCCACTTCCAATCCAACTGTCTGCTGTGGCCAGGGAAAGCAGTAGAAGATGGCTCAGATCCTTGGGCTCCTGCACCCATGTGGGAGGCCTGGAGGAGGCTCCTGGTTCCTGGCTTCGGATCAGCACAGCTCCGGCCATTGCGGCCAATTGGGGAGTAAACCAGCGGATGGAAGACCTCTCTTGTCTGTCTGTCTGTCTGTCTCTCTCTGCCTCTCCTCTATCTGTGTAACTCTGACTTTCAAATAAATAAATCTTTCAAATAAAAAAGAAAAGGAATGTATTACAGAAAAATAGAACAACTGTATTGTCGCTCCCCCTCTTCATGGAGGAACGACACTAAACCCTGCCTAGGCTTCACATCCGAGTCACGGCACCATTATGTCGCTCCCCGTCTTTGTGGAGGAACGACACAGGACCCTGCGCTGTTCTTTCGTCTGCTCGGCCCTCCCCGGGTTTGCTGCTGGTTCTTCCCGGGTTGGCTACTGTCCCTTCCACCTCCGTGGAAGGGCGGTTCCCCCTGGCCACTTTCCCCACTTCCGCAGGGGAGCGGCACACCGCCGGCCGGCTCTCTCGGGGGCTGCACAGGTGTTCCCCTTAGATGTTCCCCTTAGATGTTCCTGGTGCATGCCGTCTCTCTCCTCCTTTATAGTCCTCCTCTGCCAATCCCAACTCGGCTGCCCACACACCGAGCATGCTGCTCTCCTCCAATCAGGAGCAGGTCCTGCTGTTTATTGGTTGAACTGGAGGCAGCTGGGTAGAAGCTGTTTTCTCCTCTCCCAGCGCCATATTGTAGGAGAGCAGATGCATAGAATAAGTCTTAATTCCAGTAACTTAGTCTAGTCCGAGTTGCTCCCCACACTGTATAGACATGAAAGATCAGGGTGTATTTTAGGAAAATAGAGTGGTTCTGGGCAGCTGAGGCCAGTGGATGATGATGGGATGGAATATTAGAAAGAAAATAAAGAAGGAAGCAAGTTGGAGAAGATTGTGAAGGTACTTGGTTTCGATCCATTGGAGTAGTACCTTTATCCTGTGGTCTATGGAATTTAAAAGGAGAATTGGAAAACTCTCCCTGGGAGCAATGTGGAGGGTTAGTTTTTATGGACAGTGAAAACAGTGATCATGCTTCTAGAGAATCTAGCTAAGTGATAGGGAAGCCACAGGAGTGACGATAAAGGGAAAAGATTATTTTTTGGTGGTTAAAAGACAGCACTGAGAGTACTTAGTGACCAAATTCTTCCTTATCCCAGCTTATTTATTCCTTGCTTTAACTAGAATTTGTCTGCCTTTCCACTTCCATGTGGGCTAGGCATCATGCTAACTACTAGAAAAATAAAGTTGGCATGGCTTCTTCTTCAAACAAGCTCACCCTTTAGTAAGGAAGATTCACATTTAGCAATTAAAATGCAATGCAATTAATATTATGACAGGGGTACGCACCGTATACTGTCAGAATACGGAGAGAAAAGATGTTTCTAAGAAGCTCCGAGAAAGTAAACCCAGTGTTTTCTTCTCTGTTATATCCCTAGCACTTAATTGAATTGGGGAGCTTACTAGCTGCTTGATAAATATCTTTTGAATAAATATATGGGCTTGGGTGGGAGGGTAAGTGGGCAGGAGAATGGCAGTTTCTTCTCTACTTTATTGTAGGCCAGAAAAGGGACCTTTCTCCTGGTTTTGAAAATGGTAAGGTCAGAATATCTATGGCTATGTCCCTGTCTGGTAGCTAGGATGGCACTAGGTGTTTGGCTGTAGATCTGGTCTGTCTTTCTTTCAGGAGCCCCTGTGGACAGATTGGAGGTTATAAGCGTCTGAGAGCTGGTTAGCCAGAGTAGGGTCAGCAGAGTTCTTGTTTCCCTTAAGGAATTTCGTGAAGTCTTTTGGAAAGTCCCAGCATATTTCATCAAAGATAGGGAGAACTAAAGGCTTTGTTCAAACTTGGTCAAGAGATGTAAGGAGTGTAGCAGCCACCCAGGATCAGGAACCAAATGGGAGAGTTCTGGAGGAAAGTGAAACCTGAGTATAGGCGTGGGGGTTGGTGTTCTTATTCACCAGAAGAGTCTCTGTTTCATTGTCGACCCTGGAAGTTCCTGATGGGAGATGGACCAAATCCACAATATCTGAATTGCAACTCTGAGGTCCAACAAGTTCTGAAAACTAGTGCACCTTTTTGTTTATTATTTTTATTTGACAGGAAGAGTTAGTGAGAGAGAGAGACAGAAAGAAAGGTCTTCCTTCTGTTGGTTCACCCCCCAAATGGCTGCTACGGCTAGAGCTACACCGATCTGAAGCCAGGAGCTAGGTGCTTCCTCCTGGTTTCCCATGCAGGTGCAGGGACCCAAGCACTTGGGCCATTCCTCACTGCCCTCCTGGGCAACAGCAGAGAGCTGGACTGGAAGAGGAGCAACCAGGACCAGAACCCGGCACCCACATGGGATGCTGGTGCCACAGGTGGAGGATTAACCAAGTGAGCCACGGCGCTGGCCCTACTAGTGCACCTTTTGTGTTTTTTTTTTTTTTAGTGTTAAAACTTGACATGATATGAATTCATTTGGCAGCAAAATATGTTGTAAATTGCTATGAAACTATTTGTAGACTTAATTTAATCTTAAAGGTGCTCATATTTATGTTTTGTGGGAGCAACATTTTCGTGCTTGATTACAGGGTCTTGTCACAGATACTTTTAGGATGGTGTTAAGTGATGTTTGATAAAGGAACTCTATTACTTTTTAAAGAAACACTATTCATTTGAGAGGCAGAGCTACGGTCAGAGAGACAGAGAGGAAGGTCCTCCATCTGCTGATTCACTCCCCAAATGGCTGCAGAGCTGGGCCAGGCTGAAGCCAGGAGCTTCCTCTGGGCCTCCCACATGTGTGCAGGGGCTCAAGCGCTTAGGCCCTCTTCTGCTGCTTTCCCAGGCCATTAACAGAGAGCAGGGAGCTGGATCAGAAGTGGAGCAGCTGGGACTTGAACCGATGCTCACATAGGATGCCAGTGCCACAGGCGGAGGCTTAACCTACACCACAGTGCGGTCTCCTCTATTACTTTTTTAAATCTGAGAACTTTTGAGTGATGATATCCACCCTACTCCTAGGGTCTCCCCCCCCTCCCCCCGGCAGGCAGAGTTAGAGACAGACAGACAGAAAGCTCTTCCTTTTCTGTTGGTTCACCCCCGAAGTAGCCGCTACGGCTGGCGTGTTGCAGCCAGCGTGCTGCACTGATCCGAAGCCAGGAGCCAGGTACTTCTCCTGGTCTCCCATGCGGGTGCAGGACCCAAGCACTTGGGCCATCTTCCACTGCCCTCCTGGGCCACAGCAGAGAGCTGGACTGGAAGAGGAGCAATCAGGACAGAACCGGCACTCTGACCGGGACTAGAACCCCGGGGTGCCGGCACCGCAGGCAGAGGATTAGCCTAGTGAGCCATGGCGCCGGCCATTCCTAGGTTCTTAAAGAAAGGATTGTATATTTATTTTTCCTTTCAGGGATTAGTAAAGGCTTTTGGACAAGGTGACTGTGGATTCGTTTTTGAATATGCATAGGATCTTGTTTTGCTTCTTAGCTACAGTGAGTATTGTCTCCTGTATTAGTTGGCTAGGACTGCCGGAGTAAAATGCCACAGGCTGGTGGCTTCAGCAACAGCAGTATATTCTCTGAGCGTTTGGGAGGCTGGACGTCCAAGATCAGCACAGGTTTGATTTCTCCTGAAGTCCCTCTCCTTGGCAGGCAGAGGCCTCCCTTCACTGTGTCCTCAACAGGGTCCTCACTCTGTGTGTGCACATCCCTCTCATCTCTCTCTGAATCCCCTCTTATAACGACCTCCATGAGATTGGGCGAGGGCCTGCCATGATGGCCTTATTTCAACTTTATCAGAACAGTGACAGTCTCTTCAAATACAGCCACATGATGATATTCTGGAGCATCAACATAGGCATTTAAAAAATATTTATCTATTTGAAAGTCAGAGTTACACAGAGAGAGAAGGAGAGGCCTTCCATCCTCTGGTTCACTCTGAAACCAGGAGACAGGAGCTTCTTCGGGGTCTCCCATGTGGGTACAGGGGCCCAAGGGCTTGGGCCATTTTCTGCTTTCCCAGGCCACAGCAGAGATCTGGATCAGAAGTGGAGCAGCTGAGACTAGAAACGGTGCCCATATGGGATGCTGGCATTGCAGGTGGCAGCTGTACCCACTAAGCCACAGCGCCGGCCCCAACATAGGCATTTTGGAGGAACACAATTCAGACATAAAACTCCCATGGGGTGTTTGGAAATGTGTTAATGTATTCTTAGGAGTTGCAGTGACTGTGGAGTGTTACTCTCACTCAATGGGCAGTGCCAGGATTGCTAAACATCTTGTTGTATAGGAGAGAGCCCTGCATGACAAAGAATTGCCTGCCACGGAGGCCAACAATTCCACTGATGGAAGCTCCAAGGGGAAGGTTTGGCCCAGACCCTGGGATAGTATCCATAATGATGGCTCTGTGATTGATAGAGTGTGCCCTTCTTATACTACTTTCTACTCTCCCTTCTTCACTCCCTTCTCAGTTGGTTCCCTCAATCAGTATGGTTAAGCCCCATGAAGCTGGTATAATGAACAAATGGATTTAACTGTAGAGGGCTTGGGTGGGAGTTTTGATTCCCCAGTTTCTGGGAATAATGAGGAATTTGTGCATCCTGTTTTTCCCTAACTCATCTGTGACTCTTAGACTGAAATAACAACCCCCCTGTTAAAAAATGACTCTTGCCTTGCCTCTGGGCTTGCACTGATACGAAATACAATTGCATGCAGAGCTTCATACAAGTTCTCCAACAACCAGGGCATGAATTAGTAGCCAGAAATATGCCTCCAGCATGTGAGGGCTCTAGCATTTTCCCCATTGGCTTTTGGTTTCAGCTTGCTCCCTTTTCTGTCCTAGGGGGTCCCTTGTTACTTTCCGCCGTTTGGTAAAAACGAAGGTAACAGGATCATTCAGTCTCCCTTTCTAGTTGAGAGCATTGTAATGCTCTGCAAATATGATCACACTCATTAGAGTAACCATAGGTTGTTAATTAAATTATAAACCAATGTATCATACCAATGTTAGGAATAACAAACAAATGAGCCTATTTCTTAGGCATTCACTGCCCAGACAGCGTTCCATTTATGATTTCTTGAGTCATGCTGAATTATTCAGTCTTCGTTTTACAATTTCAACATCTAGGAGAAACAAAAAACTGTAACAATTGCCACTATAATACATAAATAAAAATGAATAATTCAGAACTCCTGTCTTATTTTATTCTCCCCTGTCTGACTGATCCCAGCTTTGCTTTCTATTTCACAGTACTCAGCGAGGTAGGCAGAGAATTTTCAGGTTTAGCTATAAAGATGTAGAGCCTTTGAGTGATTTGCCCCAGAAGAGCCATTCCTGAGCTGCTAGAAACCCACAGCCTGATTTAATCCTCTTTAACATATGTATGTGTGCGCATGTATACATATGTATACACATACATGCATACATACATGTAGTTATGAATAAATCAGCTTTCCTGACTATTCATCATTCATCAAGAGATTAAAAACAATCAAAACCTGTTACTGATCAGTGAGATTCTCCTATATTATATTCTCCTGTGAAAAATTTTCCTAGCAACTGTAGCTTTGAGTTCTTAGGTTTTATGCATTTGTACATTACACATGTGCTAAGGTCAGTGTTCCAAGTTCATTTTATCAGGTAGAGAAAACTGAAAACAGGAATGGGATTCCAAGAGTGGCAGCTGCAATCCCCTAGCTGGTGTGTGGGCTCGGCTGCTGGGCCAGGAGCCTTTCTGGTGTGCTCTGTCAAGTTCCCAAGCATCTGCTGGCTAACAGGAATCCTGACCTTTGGTTTGCTCCTGGTCAGTGGGCACTGCTCCAGCTCAGAGCACACGTCGCAGAGCTGGATTCCCGACTGGTGCACCACTGGCTGCCACTTACCTCCTCAGAGATCAGAGAAAAAGCACGAGGGATACAAAGCTTGCCAAAGGGCCCATGCTCCCTTCGGCAGGATTTTTCTACCCGATTCTAGAAGGCCATTTCCAAACTTTTATTCTCATTTGAAAATCATAACCAAATGGTAGAAATGGAAAAAGAAAATCCTACCTAACCCTCCACTGGCCACAAAATGTAATGATTAGGGAAAGAGCTCATGTGTACTCTAATAATTAATTGACTCTTAAGGATTTATTTGCTGGCATTCCAGGCAGGCAAAAGTAGATAACTATGCCCAATGAATAAGATTAGTGAGCCTATCTCATTAATATATAACTTGGCAAGATTTTTAATTTTGCAATTTGAAGTGTAAGGATTGTGATCTTGATAGATTTTTGTTTTTCACTTGTTTACCCCCATCCCCTCCCCTGAAAGAGGAGGACATATCTGGATCATTTTTTTCTTTTCTGTCATGGGCATTAATGTATGTTAAGATAACCCAATTAATACCTGGTAAGCCCCCACCTCTGCACATAGCCTTTAGTCGTTGGTGGGGGATTTGGGGCACTGTGCTGTGGAGGTGGGTGTTGGAGAGAAAAGGGAGAGATGCTTCAGTTTCGAAGGCCTGGAGGCACAGAGTCACAGAGAGCTGTTTCCATGGCAGTGCTATGGAAACCAGGTTCTGCCTCTCACTCCTTCCCAGAGTGGAATTTCCATGCTTCATGTAGCATGGGCTCCAAAACAGCCTGCTGGCATCTTATCCAAGCTGACGTTCTCTTTGCAACCTCATTGTAACCCCTTGTTCTGGCCGCTTTTAAGTGGGGGGAAATGGAAAGTAGGAACTCAATCCAAAACACAGGTATGAACTCTGAACCCTAAACCTGCTGTGCTTTTACTAGTAAGTAGGATAGAGAGAAAAAAGTTAGTTTTACTGTAGATCGGTTGTCATTTCTGTAAGCATCTACTTCCTGGGTTGCACTATGTAGCATTGTTAAGTCTCATGATTTTGTAGGAGTCAGTTCAAGGAATTTATTTTTTTCCCTTAATTTGTAGAACTAGGGGTGCAGGGTTTGTTTCTTTAGGACCCTTCCAAAAGAAGAGGAACCTTCCATTTCTTGTTCCTAGACACATATGGTGGTCTAATCCTTCATATGATTTGTACACATGTGCTGTTTTTCACAAATGCGGACCAAATGAAGGACCATGAATCACTATAAATCCTTCTTGAGTTTGCAAATGCCTCTCCAGTATATGCATTGTTGGCAGTGGGTTTGTGGCATCATTTCATACATGGAGAATAGCAGGTGTGTGTGTGTGTGTGTATGTATGCACATGTGCTTGTTAATTGGATCTCCTAATATAGGATGTTGATTTACACTTGCAATTATCACCTACTTGTGTTCTTTTAATGGAAAGATCATTGTGTAAGGAATGACGTCAAATAAAGCCCATGAATACAAGTACCAGAAGAAAAAAATGCTAAATTCTACAGGCACATTTTTAGAATGAGAGAAAGAAAATACACAAGTATTTTGATCTTACCTTTTCAAATAAAGAATAGGCATAGTGGGTTTTTATATATGATACTAGGTAAAGTGGTTTAAGATCTTATTATGGTTAGATTAAAATCTGGCAACCTTTTATGTTTTAATTTACATTTCCAGTTCTCATGTTATGTAGAAACACTTCCAATGATCCTTTATTAGAATGTGAAGATATGTTTTTTTACAGACTATTCAACCTCTCTATATAAATTTGAAAAACATCATAGAAAATAGAATGAAAATTTTATTTTGTTGCAAAAATTTTGAAATCCACACATAGTTTTCTCATAGTGCAGGTTTCCAATGAACTTTTTGAAGACCCCTTGTATATGTGAACACTCAGTAAGTTTGTAAGAGGGGCTGATGTTGTGACATACTATGTTGGAGCACTGGTTCCTGTCCTGGCTGTTCCACTTCCTATCCAATGTGCTTGGGAAAGCAGTAGATGGCCCAAGTGCTTGGGTCCCTAACATCTACATGGGACACCCCAATGGAGTTTCTGGCTCCTGGTTTTGGCCTGGATCAGCCCAGGAAAGTGAACCCATGGATGAAAGATATTCTCTCTCTCTTTACCTTTGAAATAATTTTAAAAAAAATTAAAAGTTTGTGGAAAATGAGGTTAAAAAACTAGTGTACTTTGGCACAAACATTTTTGAGATTCATGCTTGTTTTTTGTACAACATATACCTTCCATGAACCTTTTGAAGAGCTTTGTATATCCCCAAATCTCTCTTCTCTAATGACTGTTTCCCTCCTCAATAAACAAACCATTATCCTTTTAATTATTTATTTGAAAAGCACACAGAGATAGCTCACATACATGCACACATGCACACATGCACACACACACATACAGATTGCCTCATCCACTAGTTCATTCCTCAAATGCTTCCAGGAACAGTTGGGCTTGGGCCAGGACACAGTTAGAAGTCAGGAACTCAATCCTGGTGTCTCACATGGCTAGTAAAGACTCAACTTCTTGAGCTATTGCCTGCTGCCTCCCAGGATGCATTATTATCAAAAAGCTGGAATTGGGTGCCAAGTTAAAACTGAAATCCAAGCACTGGGATATGGGATGCAGGCATCTTGAGCATCTTGGAGGCTACACCAGATTTCTGCCCCTTTAGTTATTTTTCATCATTTTGTGTCAAAGGAATTTGTGTTTCCATGGATTCTCAGTCACTGTGGTTCTATTGTGATATCACAAATTCCTTTATGGTTTTTCTGTTGTTTGTTCTGGATGGTGCCTTTGCTCAGTTCAGTACTGAGAGACATTCTTGCTTAGTTTTTTATTCTAGAGGCTTTTGCCTTGTGGTTGAATCTCAGTATCAATATGTAGAGTTGATCTGTGGGAAGGTACCTTGAGAATTGCTTCAACATTTGTTGCCCATCTGTCCTTGTCACTCATTTATTCAACTAGTATTTAGTTATCCTTTCATTCATTCAACTACAGATGGTTCCTGTGTGCATAAACTATGTGGTGTATAGGTCATCCCTGAGAAGGCTGAGATATATTATGTAAAGTTGGACCCTATGGAATTGCTGGTATTGCACTGTTTTGACATATAAAGGGCCATATTATAGGTTTTAACCTAAGAAAAAGGTTCAGTATAAAAAAATCTGGAAAGACCGGCACCACAGCTCACTAGGCTAATCCTCTGCCTGCGGTGCTGGCACTCCGAGTTCTAATCCCGGTTGGGGTGCTGGATTCTGTCCTGGTTGCTCCTCTTCCAGTCCAACTCTCTGCTGTGGCCCAGGTCCTTGGACCCTGCACCCACATGGGAGACCAGGAGGAAGCACCTGGCTCCTGGCTTCGGATCAGCGCAGTGTGCCCGCCGCGGTGCACTGGCCGTGGCGGCCATTTGGGGGGTGAACCAACGGAAAAGGAAGACCTTTCTGTCTCTGTCTCTGTCTCTCACTATCTAACTCTGCCCGTCAAAAAAAAAAATGACAGGCAGAGTTAGAGAGAGAGAGAGAGAGAGAGAGAGAGAGAGAGACAAAGAGAAAGGTTTTCCTTCTGTTGGTTCACCCTCCACATGGCTGCTATGGCCGGCGCGCTGCGGCTGGCGCACTGCGCCGATCCGAAGCCAGGAGCCAGGTGCTTCCTCCTGGTCTCCCATGCGGGTGCAGGGCCCAAGCACTTGGGCCATCTTCCACTGCCTTCCCGGGCCACAGCAGAGAGCTGGACTGAAAGAGGAGCAACCGAGACAGAACCCAGCGCCCCAACCGGGACTAAAACTCGGAGTGCCTGTGCTGCAGGCGGAGGATTAGCCTAGTGAGCTGTGGCGCCGGCCACGAGGTTGACATTTAAAGATAGATTTAAAAATCAAAGAAATTAAATGTAAAGGAAGAGGTGAAAATAACATTCACAGACAGGAAGAACTAGAAAATAAGAACCCAGACCCTCTCAGTGTTCTGAAGTTGCTGCAGAGACCAATTCAATAGCCACTAGCCACATGTGGTCATTTCAGTTTCAGTTAGTTACAGTTAAATAAGACAAAATTACTCACACTATCATTTTGATGTCTTGTATGTGTTTATCCTACAACAACCTTGCACAAGCATACTTTTCATCTAATTGTTTCTTGGTCTCCTTCACCCTAGCCCTCCCTCACTCTGCCCACAAAATGCAGTTTGCAGCAAATGCTAAACCGAGCTGGAAATTCTTTCTGGGTGCTAGTATACATTTGGCACCCGTTTTAAATCAATCATTTTAAAACCTGCAATAAAATCCTAAACAAAAACAAACTTTTTGTATCATGAGCTGTAGTTCAACTGCTCAGTAGCCACATGTGTGTTGATTTTGCAGTGGCTAGCACAGATGTGCATAGAATATTTGTGTTGTCGCTGGAGGTTCTACTGGATTGTTCATGGAAGAGAAAAAATCCATTAAGGGAACTTGAACTTCCTTAGGAAAATCTGTAATGATGGAGAAAAGGTCTGGGGGCTTGGGGATTCTGGTTATTCGCTGAAGTTCATTAGGTCTCTAAGTGCTGAGCCTTGTGGCTGTTCTGTAACTGTTAGTGACCCAGTAAAATGTCACAAACTCCAGGACATGTAAAATGAGCATCACTGTAGAAAAACCCCTAATCTTGTGGTGACGCTGGCCTCCTCAGCCATCCTCAGTGGCCAACGTAGCATTTGGAATCTAGCCTGGTCCTCTGTGGTCCCTCTAGCTGAGTGTTAGTGGACACTGAGGGATTCATGATGAAAAAAGCCATCATTTGCCTGCCTTCACATCTTTTGATAGTTTTTCATATTGGGCATTAAGTTCCTAAATACAAACCCTTCCCAGGGTCCCTGGAAACTCAAACATTTGATCCTAACTCTAAACTTCTGCTTTTTCTTCCCTGATGATTTTTTGTCTATGGTGACTTTCCTGTTCAAAAGGAAATATTTTAAGGGGATCCTGGAGGTGGCACATTTGTTGTGTTCACCTCTGAGTCATTGCCCATGTTGATGTGAAGAGTTGGTGTTGGTGTGTGAGAACACACATGCACAGAGATGCACATACTGTTAGTCTCCTTAGTTTTAAATTCTCCCCAAGGTGAAACTACTAAGCTTACTTAAAGCAAAGACAAGAAAAATTAAACATTTCGAGAAATGTAGATTTGTTAACAATTTTGTAAGGTTGGACACATCTTTATTGAGATGTGTATATGCACTTGAAAAAAGTTATGCATTCTAAATTGTTCACTCCTTTCACTCTACATTTTATTGAATGAATTAACACTTTGGTATTAGGCAGGCTTGGGTCTAAGTTCTGTGTAAATACCTTTTGGCAAGTGCCTTCATCTTTTTGACCTTCTGCCTTCTATGCTGTAGAACTCAAAGTGGTCATTGGCATGAAATGAGAATAGTTGTAAAGCACTAGCATCTAGCAAGTGCTCATTGATGCCAGCTATTAACATTACTGTTATTTTGCTGCTTGCACTGCTGCTGCTGCTATTGTTGCTAGAAAATATTTTATCCTCATCTTATTTCCAATTCCTGGTACCCAGAATCATGGGAGCATAGTCGTTTGGTACTGAAAGCATTCTCATGCTCTCTTTGCCATTGAGTTCTCATTTTTGCCCCATTCTTATCCCACTCTAATACCATAATACTGTTGTTCAGTGTTCAAATGAATGACTCCAAATAGCTTTATTGCTTAGTCTTTACTTTTCTTGTTTCCATTTTTATATATTTCCCCCAAATTCCCACTTACTTACCTCATTGTTGTAATTAGGATACCAGTTTGCCATACTTTGTGAAATGCCTTTTCTGATACCAACACTTGTCACTTTAGAGCAAGTTCCTCATATTTCCATTCCTA